CCCTTCGTCTACTAAGTTGGTAATTTTATCAAAAAAAGAGATCAGATTAGTCTGGATAGCCTCGTCAAATAGTTAATTGTACAATTTCAAATAGTCTGGATAGTTTTAATAACAGGCCCCCTGGGCTATAAATGCTGCTGCTGAATGCCAGGTCAGTAAGAAAAAAACATTTTTGATCCAGGACTTGATCCTGGATGAGCATGCTGAAATGACTTGTCTTAAAGGAAACCTAGCTAGAGCAGATCAAGTCTGAAATCTCCCAGAAGCCAAGATGATAAAGTTGAGATTGTTGTACTTTGGTCGTGTCGTGAGAAGGAATGATGTGCAAAAGGCAATAATGCTAAGGAAGGTGGAGGGTAGTGGAAAGAGAAGAAGACCTCATGTTAGACCAGGCCTACACAACTTGGCAGTAGGTAGGGGCCAAAATTAAAATAGGCTAAACTTCTTAGGGCTGCAGATAGATTTTAATTAAATATTAATTAAATATTAATTAAATACTATTAATTCTATCCTCCTCCTCCTCCTCTTCCTGAGGAGATAGCCAAGCAGTGAAGGAGCTTTGTCTGTCCTTCTCCTCTGCCCAGACATCTCCTCAGGAGAAGGCCAAGTGATGGAGGAGTCTTGAGGGGCAAGAGTTTGCCCCCTTCCTCCTCTGTCACCCAGCCTTCTCAGGAGAAAACTGGGTGAAGGAGGACCCTTGCAGGGCAAGCATTTGCCTGTCCTCCTCCTCCACCTGTCATTCTCCTTGGGAGAAAGCTAAGCAGCAGAGGAGCCTTGCAAGGTGAGTGTTCACCCATCCTCCTCTGTTACGTGGCCTTCTCCTCCTCCATCTAGCCTTCTCCTGGCAAGAAAGCTGGACAGCAGAGGAGCCTTGAGGGGCAAACGTTTGCCCACCCTCCTTCTCTGCCACCGGGCTTTCCCTGGAGGACCCTTGAAGACTTTTCATATCCTTGTAGGCCACTCAAAATCCTTTGGCGGGCCACGTGCAGCCCCCAGGCTGTATGTTGTGCAGGCTTGTGCTAGATGGATGGACTCTATTAAGGAACTCACTGGTATAAATTTATAGGATCTAAGCGGAGCAGTGGAGAATAGGGAGTCTTGGAGATGTCTCATTCACATGGTTGCCATGAGCTGGTATCAACTTGAGGGTAGTTAACAACAACAACAGCAGCAACAACAAAAGCTGTATGAGTCTGGGTGGTGTGGGAACTAACCACTCCAAACAACTGGTTCTTAGAACAAATCAAACCTGAACTTTCCATTAGCCAAGGCTGTCCTACCCTGGCCACATCATGAGAAGGCATGAATCATTATAATAGACAATAATGCTGGGAAAGGTAAACAGCAGTAGAAAGAGAGGAAGACCTGAAGCATTCCCCCACCCCTTTTTGTCTCTACCCCACTCTCCTTAAGGCCTAAGTGTTTTCAGGATTGTTTCCCCTGCCATCTGTAGTCCCTTTATGCCTCCCACCAGCCCCTGAGCTGGGTACCTCATTCTGACCTCAGGAGTGAACCACTCACTGTGGTGGCACTGCTGCCAGGTAGCAAAGTGGAACACATATGGAAACAGCCGACCAATGTCAGAACTGAGGGTCTTTGTAACAGGGGAGTGTCAGGGAAGCACTGGGGCCAGGATACTCTGGCTTCTGTAATAGTAAGGCAGTGAATCCACTCAAGACTTGGTCCAGTCTTTAAAAGTGATGGAGTATCTGTAAAACAAGTTCAGCACTTTGGATAGTTTGGACTAAAACCCTGAGCAGATTAAGCACCCTCTAACATAAGAGATAGCAGCTACCACTGCTCCAGTGGGATAACACCAACCAAAAACTACCAGCCAACCACAAAAAAATCAGTGTAAGTTTTTGAGATTACCAGATCTCTTCATCTTAATTTTTTTTTTTTTTTTTGGTGTGAGAGTGAAAAAATCAGCACTTTGGAGGTTAGTCAAAGCAGCAGCAAAAAAGTTGTATTTTGTGCATTCCTGCATGGTAGTGGGATGGACTGGATGATCCTCGTGGTCTCTTCCTACTCTATGATGCTATGATTCTGTGTTGTATTATAGGTGGAAGCAAAGTATTTTGTACCAATATAATATTGTCAAAAAAATTCAAGAAATGTTGCCAAAAAGTGCCCTGCAAAGTGTGAAAAGTCATACAAAGGCACAAAACTCAGGCAATTCTACTCAGCTGGGAGAACAGTTTGGGTATCTTGCATTTGTGTTAGAGAAAGGATACTCTCCCTAGCACTGTCACATTCTTTGGATGTGAGGAGTGAAGCTGAAGTTGAGGATTTTCATCAGCCTATGGACATTTATTGTGTTGTTCACATAAGGAGATGAGAGCAACTGCTCAGAGAGTATGAGCAAGCAGTTCTGCCTTGCTTGGCCTGCATGTGATATCCTGGGAGAAAGGAGATCACCTGCATTGTCAAGAAACAACTCTCAACTACCTGGTTGTATGCTAGAGGGTAGCTTTCTTTGTGCAGCTGCTCTTTCAGCACCATCCACTTCTGAGCTGTCGATTAACAACTATTCCAGAAAAATCCTTTGCTTTTCTTGTGTAGCAGAATGCTTGCATGTTGCCCATGGTGTCCAGCAGATGGAGATGTGGACCTCTAAGTGAGCACCTTCCAAAGGTCTGGT